TCTCTCTCTCTCTCTCTCTCTCTCTCTCTCTCTCTCTCTCCTCCTTGTGCGAGTGCGAGTGCGAGCGCTGCAGCAGCTAGCAGCACAAGGCAGGCCACTCTTTTGTATTGTTGACTCCGCCTGGCCTGCCTCCTCTTGCCTCCTCAAAGGGCTGTGATTTGTTTACGGGCTGCCCGGATTTGTTCTTGGCCAGCGTGTGCCTGGACCACGTGGGCCTTGGAAACTTCTGGAAACTGCACTGCGCGACTGGATTGTGTGAGATATGTGGCCGTGGTTGACTCCTGAGAAGTCTATGACTCTTCGACCATTATGTCCGCGCTGGGCCTGACTGCTGTCTTTCCTAAGTCCAGTCCTGGTTCTGGGCGTCAGGCGGTGCCTCTTTTGACCCTTGTCCCAATACCTTCTGGCTCAACAACTTTCTGGCCCCTGTTTGCGGGCTGTAGATGTGACTCCCCTGGCTATTGACTGGACCAAATGCGATGACCCAAGCCTAGTTCTGTGCAGATTTTGAACTTGGTTCTTTTCATCAGGAATGGTCAAACCTACTCAACCAACTAACTCTTCTCTGAACTAGTTTGAGTCTTTACTATTTAGATATCATAATTTAGGGCACAGCTAGTTTGAGTCTTTACTATTTAGATATCATCATTTAGGGCACAGATAAGCTGAGCGAGTTTCGAACCCAGCACCATCTCATCATTTTAGGACGCATGCAACTGGTTGAGCTAGGACCACACCGTGGCCGAGGGACCCTGACAAGAAGAACCTTGATTGCTCCCCAAGTAGGGAGGATATAATGCTAGTCAAGCCCCTTCTTTATCACAAAAAACTCCTTCCATTTCTGCCCCTGATTCATCCATAATACGGCTAAGAGCAAATCTTACCTTCCTTATATATTAGTTGCCAAGCAAACAAAACAAAACAAAAGGAGCCAGAATCTTGAGGTTCTGTTTGACGTAAAAAAAAAAAAAAAAAAAAAAAAAAAAAAAAAAAAAAAAAAAAAAAAAAAGAAGAAGAAGAAGAAGAAGTTGCAAAGCAAATTCTCAAGCCCGCGAGCACTCGGGTCAACCTGCACGGATAATTCCTGGACTCGTCATGGCATTGCCAGCCTACCAGTGGGAAGCCAAGGTGATGCGCCAAGTTCACACAATAAAATGGAGCCACAACCACAAGGCTATGTTCATGAGAAACAGGGAAGAACTCCTCGACTCAGGCAAACACTGGGTGCATGAGCTTTTAAGAACTCACCATAACTCACTTACCAACTTATGGAAGAGGGTCACCACTGCCTCTCTTACAGATGGAGTCGTTGCAACGTCGTTAGCAACGCTGCTGTTAATGATATCAAATGACATGGACATCTGGATGTTACAACTGCTTGAATCTCCATTGCAGACATGGCACTCGTCAATGAACCCACTTCTGCAGCAAACACCTCTTTCATCACGGAAAGTTCTGCAACAGTCTCCTCTGATATCCAGGAACCTGCACAGAAACAAGGACCGCGTAGTCTAAGAGATGTTAGATACAAAAACTGTATGTTGCTGTTCATTATCAGTCACTTTCAGCCAAGGTACACATCCCAACAGCAGTAGCCAAGACGGCAAAACACCTCCTTGGTGAGAAAAATGTTAAAGAATCGCATCAGGTATCTAAAAGTCTGCAGGCAAGGAAAATGTTGACGAGTTAATGATGACGAAGGTTTGTTGCTGTTAACCTGCAACTGCAATCGCTTCTGGAGAATTCATCAGCAGCCAAGAAGGCGTGCTCCCTCTTTTCAATAGAGTCTAAGGAATTGAGAGATCTTGTCTTCATCAAGACAGCCCTACAGTGGCAGTGACACGAGGGAGGACTCATGACTGTGCCACTCGGGTAGTGCTATATGTCATTGCAACACCATTCACGTGGGTCTCTGCTGGCCCAATGCATCACCCATTGCATGACCTTACCATTCACTCCTTGATGGGGTAGTCTGAGCTGTAGAAGTATGCACTGGGAAGGCCTTACACAGAGAGTGGGAGAGGTAGGAGGGAGAAGAGTGAAAAAAGGACAAGCCGCCACATCATGATCAACATGGGTCATGCAAAGTCGTGTCCAAATACATTCTGAGCATCTAAAAGTAGTCTAGATGCAACTGAGTTATAATGGCTAGGTAAGGAGAAAAAAACACCACGTGTTCGATACATCTCGGGCTGAAATAGTGGCCAGGTACATCCGGAACGTAATGCCTGAAAAAGGAAGGCAAAAGCGGAGTGTCTAGGTACAATGTACCTAGAACAATTAGTTCTACAGTAGTCCGCTGTAAGACGAGTTGGTAGGGGAGAGAAAAACACATGTTTTAGATACATCTGGAGTAGGAATAGTGGCCAGATGCATCTGGGATGTAGCCACCATAAAAGGAAGGGAAAAGACGAGTGTCCAGTTACAACGCACTTGGGAAAAGGAGTTCTAGTGTTGTCTGGGGTATAACGGCCCCAAAGGAGAAGAGGAAAGACATGTTTCAAGTAGGGTAGAGGCCGAAATGAGCACGATGCATCCGAGGACAATGACCAGTCAGGGGGTTGTAGAGAGAGAATGGGAGAGGTAGGAGGCATAAGCGTGAAATAAGGGAATAACGCCACATAACAATGAACTTGGACCATGTGATGACCCGACCAAACGTGGACTGAAACACGGCTGATTTCTGAGTTTTGCTCATGGACTGAATGCCTTGCTGAGTTTTCCGCTTGCTACTAAGTCTGTGTGTGTGCGTGCACGCTTGCTGGACTGCATGTCTGTCTGAGTGCTGGTTGGCTTGAGTGTGTGTGTGGCCCGTAAGGGCACTTGTTCGTTTGTTGGGCCCTCAGAGCTGGTACTTACCGTGGCCGTGGCATTGGGGATTGCAACGGGGGAAAACACTCAAGTGGCGGGGAAAGAGGCCCGCATCACTTGAAGCAGTGGGGAAACACTCAAGTAGCAGGTAGGCCGGTACCACACCCTGAAGCGGTAGATGTGCCGGGTACTGGAGGCCGAGCAGAAGAAGACAAAAGTGGCATTTTTAGAGGCCCAGTAGTTGTAGGCTAGGTCTAGGCGGGTACTAGTCTGAGTCTAGGGCCTGTACGGGCAATATCAGAGTCTGCAATGATGTTTCCCTCCGAAAGGGAGGAGGTACCGGTTGCTTGGGAGGCCGAGCGGCCTGGAAGTCACCGCCCGAGAGGCAAGCAGACCTCTATATCTCCAAGCCGGGCGAAGAGCCCAGCCTCATTGTCGGTGTGCAAGTTTGGCGACACACTGGTTGGAGCCCTGGCTGGAGCAGCACTGCTGGGGAAGAAGCAAGGACTTGGAGGAGGAAGAAGGACAGGAAGGGGGAGGAGCGCCAGAGGTACTTACCTGACTATGGTGGCAGCCATCTTCATCACCTTGGTGGGAGCTGCAGCAGGAAGGCCCCAGCTGGGGGTGGGCCACACCAAGAAGCTTTGAGGCAGAGTCAGGCATGGCGGCCTGAGCCAGAGCAGCCATAGCTGCCTTGGGTTGTCCTTTGGGCATCTGGGCAAGGCCTAGTAGTCCGCCATAGCCTCGGCCTATGAGAGTGAAGAGTGAGGGAGGCGGCCATGGGTATGGTGGACCTCAAGTGATATCAGCAGTCGAAAAGGGATTCGGACATTGATTCTGGTTCAGCCATTCAACATTGTATTATTATTTCTTGTGTGAATAAGAGAGGAGGAGATAAGGAGGAAGAGAGAGTTGGGCGAAGAAGAAGATCTTTGTCATTTGTCTATGCTGGTGTACATCATCTTCTTCTTCTTTCTTACTTCTTCTTCTTCTAATCTTCTCTCTCCTCTCAAGTTCATTCATTTCTTTCTGCAATTGGACGGCATTGTACTATCTGATGAATATGTATCTCAAAATTGGCCAGGATCATAACATTGGTATCAGAGCGGATTCTACTTGCTGGTGAGAGTTGACTTTGCTGCCCTAACCCTAACCTAAGTGGTTGAGGGCAACACTTAGGGTTACGGTTGGATGTAAGGGAAGTGGGGCAGCGTGGCTAAGGGAAGCTGCCCCCACCTGGTTAGGTCATGTGGGGTCGACATTGAACCTAACCAGGTTGCTCGAGAGTGCGGTTAGGGTGGCGAGACATTTCGTGGAGACTTCATGCGACAACTTGAGAGAGGCGACAGTGAGAGGCACTCGCACCTGGAATCTGATTCAAGGGAAACACTTGGCAACTTAAGGGCTGCACTCAAGTAGGCGAACTTGAGGGTCAGCGGCCATTCAGCATCTACGGACTGCAAGTTGCTACTTTGTTCTCCAGCATCGACGAGGGACCCGGCGTTGCACTTTGGTGTTGGAGTCAGACCCTCCTAGGAGATAGGACACTAGTGTAGGGGTAGCGTTAAAGGGGTCAGGAGGATCACATGAGAGCGGGGTGAGTTCTATTCATCTCGAAGCTCAGGCCACTCAGGTAAGTGTCGTGCACCTATGCGATGCCCATGTATGTGTGCGTGGTATTGAGTGTCCTGCTGGGGTTATTTTGGGTTTCTTTCCTACTCCTCTGTGGTCTTGATTCTGTGATTGAAATGTGTGTGAACTACCTACTCACCTGATGGATGGAGAAACGAAGTATCTTGATTTAAATGCCGATTCCTTCTACAGTGCTTTGTCTTTTCATCTCTGAACGGCTGTAGTCTGTAGGTTCTACCGGAAGTTGAAATTCGTTTTCAGGATGGTAGAGGCAGAAACTTAGTCCAAGTGGGACTCCTCTTGGTTGGAACTCGGTCACGACCTACATGGGAACTTTGGGGACCCAGTGGGCCGGGCCCAAACAAGAAGAGCCCTTGGACCCGAATCTGTTAGACATGAGTCCATGCTCTTCCTGACTGAGATCCGGAGTTTATTCTTGTTGGTTAGGACACCCACTGCCGAGGGGATCTCGGCTTGAGATGTTTCGCATGCTTTTGATCGCACCGTCCGTGGCTTGAATCGCACCCTATACACCACTCAATTCTCCATTGCTGCATTTAGTCACTCGTTGTCTGATTTGCTGAATGGACACGGAGCTGGTCAGATTGGACTCAAGAGGACCTCGTATGCAGTCTGATCAGACTGGGTCGCTGGATCAGACCTCTCCTGTGAAATTGTTTTTCTTTTTTTGGTTTGTTGCTCTCTAGCCCAAATGTAATGCCGCTCCGGCTAGGAGTTCTACCTTCTCTTCTTTGAACTTTTCAGTCTGTTTCTTTTCCCGAGTTCATATTTTGATGCCCGTAGAGACTCGCAGACAAAAGGAAGCGAGAGAGAGAGAAGAGAGAGTGAAAAACCCCATCTTGAGGGACTTGCAGAAATGGGCGATGTAAAGGCTTCTGTGGCCTTAAAGGCCCAACTAGATGCAACCGTAGAGGAGGATAAACCATTATTCCAAACTCTCTACGAGAAGGCACTGGCAAGGGAAGAGAAAGCTGAGGAGGAAAAGCGGAAAACCGCTGTTGCAGACCATGAGGATGTCCTCAAAACAGTCTCCTCCTTGCCTGACACTGAGGTCAGGAAGGAGATAATCGCATATGTGCGTGCTCTTATAGATTGTCACCTTCTCAGTGACATCCCTGGACATATCACCAAACTCTCGGTAGAGGTAAGTGAGCTGCGGGCGAAACTGGCCGAAGTGACCAAAGAGCACAAGGATCAAATGCGGCAGATGAAAAATCTGCAGAAGAATCAGATTTCTAATCCTCTCCCTCTACCTCCTGCCTCCAATGCTGCTAACCAAACTGTCCTCGCTCCCCTCCATTCCTCTACTTCTTCTCAAAGTGTGGTTCCATCGGGACCTGCAGTAGGTGCAGACTCTGTTGCTGCTACGGCAAGTGACGGCGCAGGGAATTCTGCAACTGCTGCAACCTCGAATTCAGAAACAGCAATCGCTGGCGCCGGCTACAGCAGTCCCTATGTGGACAAGAAGGCGGTTCCTATACAGTCTAAGTACGACGGGAAAGAAGACGTTGAGTCCTGGATCAGCTCCATGAGAGCTTACTTCGAGGTGCTGGGAACTCAACCAGTGAGCCAGTCCTTGATCATGGGGACCAATGTCGAGCCCGCCGTACGAGGCTTCTTAGAAGTCCAAGCTACGCAAGCCGGGTACACTAAGATCAATCTGACACAGTGGCTCAAAGCCACACCCACAACCACACTTGAGGAGATCCTTATCAAACAATTTAAGGATTCACATGCTACCGCAAGAACCTGAAAGAGACTTGATGATATCAAGCGCAACAAGTGGACGGGCACCATGTATAATTTGCAGTTGTTTGTCAGCAAACTTTTTGCTACTCCAAGACTGGAAATGACTGCACAATCCTGCTTGGATGTTGTGAAAGGAACGGTTCCCACTACCAGCATGCATCGCCTAGGCAAATAGCCCATTGGTTACACAAATTGACTTTCCCTCATGCAGGATGTGGTAAGCCTTGAGGCACAAGACCTCATTACCACAACAAGCGTCAAAAAGCCTATTG